GTCCCTGTTCTGCACTCTGGGTTCGCTCCTAACCGCAAACCATGACAAAACTCACAAATTAGCAGAACATTTTTGGTACTTGTACACAATTGTCAGTTGTTTTTACAGATGTGGTAAAATAATCCAACCGAAGTAACTCAGCATGTGCTGGTTATTGTTGAAGCGAGCTGCTGACAGTTTGTCTACCAGCAGAGACCGGCAGCTGCCATCTGTCATCAGCTTTGAGATTAAGACTTTGGTGTCTGTACATAAAGTTTCATTTGAACACAGAGGCAGATAAAAATTCAGTCCATGTAGAAGACAACCACAGTAGTGAATACTGTAGATATGAAGAGTCAGGCTTGTATAGTGGAGCTTCTCTGTTTTCACTGTGAGAGCAGAGAGGAAATGCCTCTGCGATGCCCAGGATTTCCCTTAGATTAGTGCAGGCTTGACTGCAGCAAACATCAAAGTCTGGATGGAAAGTGCTCCCATCAAGGGAGGTAATTTTCCATGTTGTTAATGTAGAATTACCATCAAGAACTTGTGTAGCTCCACAGTTAGGGTACAAGTCAAATACATACAAGTCCCATACTTGCTGATTTTACACAGGTACTCAGATTAAAAGTAAAGCATTTTTTTTTATTATACTTCATGTTTTTTTTTCATGATGTAATAATTATGTTTATTTTGAAGGCTGAGATTTTATACACCATACATACACAGTTGTTTTATTCTACAGTTTTATGGAAAAGTATCTGTTTTTTGTCTCCACTACAGCTGCAGCTAAATGCAGCATCCGTTATTGTTTCAGCTTTTCCTCTTCAACTTTTTATTGTGTGAACTTTGACATTTCAGATGCTGTCCAACATGAGTCACAGCAAAGAAGCTAGCTCATTATCATATATACATATAATTACACACACATACACACACACACACACACACACACACACACACATATATATACATATATATATATATATATATATATATCTGTGTGTACTAGGGCATTAACAGAGTAATTGAGTAATCTACACATCGATTGCTAGGACATCTATCGAGGTAAAAATGTTACATCGAGTATTTGTAGTGACTTCATATTATGTGACCACCGTATGACCGTAGGGGGCGGTGTTGCACTGTTGCAGGTCACAGAGTATGGTGTAACACCGGGTCCAATCCACCGAACCAGAACCAGTTTCGGTTTAAGTTTCGTTTTTGACGTGCTGCATGTTTCTTCACGTTTGCAGTTTAATAATAACTAATAGTTTAGTTTTGCCTTTGACTTATTTGCAGTATGATAAATGGTAGGAGCATAATATACGCTCCCAATGTTTTGTTGATCTTTTTTTGTAAATAATTACCTTTTTTTGCGGTTTTATTTTATTTTATTTTTTTTGTATTTTGAGATCTATGACGTCATCAAATACTCGAGTTCTACTCGGGTTTTATTATGTTAATGTCGAGTTTGAAAATTATATACTCGTTCAACCCCTAATATGCACAGTATATACACGTGTATATTTATGTATATATATATGTATATATATATATATATATATATATATATAT